CAGCATGTGCCATGCGAACATGATTTGTGCCAGACGGACATGCCCGATGGCTTCCCGACTATTTGTGGACTGATGGCGATTGTCCAACTCAGCTTTTTGTCGCAGAAACACGAATACATGTTTGTTAGTTGGCTAGTTCCTCAAGCAAACCAAGAACAGAGCACGTGTTTGGAAAGTCCCCTGATTGTGAGCAGCAGGCGAGACACAAGTGCACAGACACGCAAACACACACACACACACACACCAACGGGGCTCGTCCTACAGTTGAAGCATTTCCGGGCTTGCGCATGTCCAACTTTACAAAGCCGTCTATCAGTCAAGGACCAGCCATGTTTTGTTGCTTGGTTCTTTATTCCATTACTGTCCTTGTGCTGAAACTATTGCCCAATGTGTGAAAGAATCGCTTTACCTCAAGTTAGCACAGCGCATCTTTCACTGCATGTTACATTCTAGGATAATCTAGGAGGTTTTTTGTCATCGCGAGAACTGGCATTCTTCAAGATGTTCCCTTGATTAGGCTGCAGCAGTACCAATTTGTTTCCAGCATTCACCGATCTCATTTGCAGATAACTTACACGCACCCCCCTTCCGAGAACCTGGTTGTCCTTGTTGGTCTGCTTTTGACATGCACCTACAGTAGGGGATTCCCATCTCGTGAGAGAACCACGACAGGCAGAAAACTTCAACTTCACAACCACTACAACCACCACATCCAGAACGGTCGTCACCAGCACGACTACCAGTACAGGCAGAAGGGCGCGGTAAAGATGTGCAGACGATCGAGCCATTTTTTCGTGCCAATGTCGGCCCCGAATGACACCTGATTAGTTCTTACGGGCGGTCTTACCCCAAAACTCCAAACTGAAGAATACCCCGCAAAATAGAGCACCCCAGATGCATCAACTGGGGGGGGGGTGATAAACTCCACGTGTTTGCTGCATTGATGACTTTGCTTACTGCTTACACAACACAATCTGTATATTCACAGCGGAATCAAGTCATGACACGTGCATAACACCCTCCAACTTCCTCCAACTTTAAACCTTGAGGATGGTTCGCAGAGCACAGAACGCCCATTTGGTTGCGCTGCAGGCCCTTGCGATCCTCCTTGGCCAATGTTGATGTACGTATCCACTTCACAACTTCGTGGTTGGATACTGTCCTCGATAAAATTATCCATGAAACGGGGAATAGTGGAGCTTGAACCATGGTTGAGAGGTGCGTGTTTTGAATTTAAAAATCGAAAACCTGCGCTTCGACACCACAAGGTGGCATTGGCTTGGCAGCCGAGTTCTGGCCATTTAAGAATTGAACGTGGCATGAGCCAGCCTTAATCGACTTCAAATTTTAAACTGATCGTTAATCATTTGGGGGTGTCTTAAAACGGCGGACCCCCCAAAATGGTGGCTTTCCCTTCGGTTTCTCTTGTAAAGCAACCACAAAAGGGGAGGCCCATTTCAGCGCCCGTCAAAACCGCGCCAATTGCAATGCTGGGCTTGGGTCCTGCGAAGGGTGCCATCTCGTTAGGGTCAAATAAGACGACGAGGTCCTGGCAGGATCTGGATCTTTCGCCATGCAAATACTGCAACCTAGTTTTTTGCTGTGAGGGTTCGATTGGCTCAGCAACCGATTTTCGCAGACATGGGGCTCGGCTCAAGCGGCGGTGAAAGGCCTGTTTCAATTTGTTTCGACATGGCTGGAAGAGACTCCATTACTGTTGAGGGGGTTGCTTTTCACACCTTGCGCGATCAAACCAGTCGGTTTTGCTTTTGGCTTTTGTTAATGAATATTGGGCTGTACACAGCAATCCTGCATCCTTGCCTTTCCTTGGGTGACAAAATTGGAGTCCCTTTGTAGCAGTGTCCACTTGGGATTGGGGGTTGGGAGTAGTCAACCCTCCATTCTGAACCGCGGAGTTATAATGTTGGACTCTCTTTAGTGTGACCCCCCCCCTGAACAGTGGAACCAGTCGGCGGGACTCTCTTTAGTGAGATTGTGTGGGTCCGGGAGGGGCAGTACTTACATTAGTATTGCCAATTCTACTTTAGTGTTGCCAAGGCTGACTCTCAGATCCCCAGTACTTACTTTAGTATTGCCAATTCTACTTTAGTATTGCCAAGGGTCGTTTTTTCAACAACCCCCAAAACCAGTTGGACACTAAAGAGGACCCCAAAACAGTTGCATTAAAGAGGATCTGGGCCTCTTGTGGGCACCCCCCTTTGTGTGACTGTTTGCCCGCACTTTTTTGTAAAGAAGTTATCTTAAATTTGATGGTTTGGGGACCACTTCAAGAAAACAATTTTCCAATGTTTGCCAGGATTCGGTTGCCTGTTTTTTCGCCCGACTTGTTTGCAAAGTGTTTTGCCAATATTTTTCCCAGCGTTGTTTCCGGCAAACAACTTTCCACAATAGAGAGCCCCTAAAACAGTCCAACGATTCTGAAGTAGAAAAATAATTTCCGCCATAGAGAGTACTATTAATAAAGGAGGTCCAACATTACTTGTTTGCTGAGGGTACCCTTTTTGGGTTGCTTCCAGTGGAAACCGAAAGGGGATACCAACCCTTTCTTTGGGTCGCCCATGAGACACTAGACAACGGATTTGTCCACCTGATCATCAATTGTGGCGGTTTTCCTAGCATTTTTGTTAGTCACTAGGGTCGCATGGAAACATTGGGAGTGAGGGAGTTTGCGAGGTAGTAGGTTTTCTACAAGCGTGCCAAAGCCTTTTTTCCTTTGCTGCCTTGGCAGGCACTTTCACTGCCCAGCCCACCTTGTCGACAACTTCCACAAGCACGTCGACAACGCGAGTTTCCTCCACGACTGCCTCGTCAACAACGACTGTTTCCTCGACGAGTACTACAATGACAGCGCGAATCTCAGTGTTTGTCTTTGTACACGTAGTACATTGTACCATGTTCTTGCTTTAGCCAGCATAACATGAAGACACACACACACACACCTCCAAGCATTACATCAGACAGCATCACATGAAGACATACACACACACATACACTACCAAGCATTCCAACGGCACAGACGGTCTTGTGTTGGATTTTGCAAGGCTTTGTTTATTCCTTCTTACCCAGCAAGTGAATTGTGGGAACTTTCCATGCAGTCGGCATCGGTGCCTCACCAGCATCTCAGACTCTGATACAACTAAGTCAAAAGTCTCGAGGCTCCCGTCTTCTCGACGTTTCCTTTTGCGTCCTAGTGTGCCGTTGCGTTCTGTAAAGAACTTTAACCCCTTGTGCAGACTTTGCAGCTTGGCCGTTTGAAATTAGGCTTTTTTCAATTGGAGGAGCCGTATTTGCACCCTGGGCGTCTGTGTTTCGAAGCGTGGTGCAGTCCATGGTCCCTGGTGCATCAAGCAAATATATGGTTAAGTCGCAACGTCCGATCCGCCCCATTGCTCTGGGCTGGTTGACGAGACTTGGCATTCTTTGCTGGATGGTTTCAAAGGGCAGCCAACAGGAAACCAAACATTTAGTGTAGAGGGATCCCTATGGGCTGCCGCTGGCAAGCATCACTTGGGGGAAGGTATTTCACCAGGCTTCCATTTAGGTATTTGCCAAAATGGGGGACCCTCAATGGTGGTTTTCCCCTTTGGCTGCCCGCTTTTTGAACCAACCTGAAAAGGGTACCTTCAAAACAACGCACATCCATTTGTAGGTCCATTTTGTTTTGCATGTGATGTTGTTTTTGCTGTTTTATGTGGAGCCGGAGATCGCCACCCCCGTTTAAGATATTGGGTCGAGCCAGGCGTCCATTTGGGGTCCCTCAAGTTGTTTTTCGTTGGACCTCCAAAAGCGTGCGTTTCGGGATCCCAGTAAAAACTGATCAATTTGTAAGGGGCGGATTCCAGTGTCCTAGGGCGGGACCTTCCCCATTCTTTCGATAGACCCTTCTTGAGAAGGGCGGAACAACATGATTTTGAAAAGAACGATGCATTGAAAAGTGTGGCTCAGCCCCTGCCAAGCATCTCTCAAATGCTTGATTATGTGTGCTCCGGAAGGGAACTGTTTGGCACCATGTCACAGAAATCCGATTGGGGGGCCTTGAGTTTCTGCACTTCCGAGTCGACACAAATGCTGGATGCTCTCAACGGCACAGCTACTTGGCCAGATTTACAGTCTTCGACCGCTTTTGCTTGCTCAAAGGCCACGACTCAATGGGAAGGTGCTAAGTTAGCCCTTATACAACTTTGATATGGAGACTATCTATAATCGCTTTGTTCAGCCAAAGGTTCGAACAAGATCTTACTACTGCACTCGCGTTCTTGGGGTCCCTAAACAAGAAAGAGGAAATCACGGATTTGATTAGCGCAAGCGCCACGGGCAGAGCGCAATTTCCCTGGCACGATGATCTCAAACGGTAGTGCATGTGAGCACAGGCAATGCCTCAGCATGGTACTGCGCACAACCACAGCAGCAGCAGCAGCAGCAGCAGCAGCAGAAGCAGCAGCAGAAGCAGCAGCAGGACCAGTGGTGACCACCAGCACCAGCACTACTGCTACTAGTTCACACTGGTTAACCTAGTCAGATTCCCAGACCTCATTTTGAATCTTGAGCTCTTAGGGCTCATGCTGCATCCCGTGCCAAAGGCTGGGCCCAAAAGATTGCAACGCTCGAAAAGGTTCCGACCTTGCTCAAGGCGGCACAAGATGACCAAAGGAATGCGTAGACGGGAAAGGTTGGTCTTCCTCGTGGGGAATGTCTGGGTTCTTGTCGGGAACGGCTGTGCGGGAAAGGCAGCTGTGTGAGCGCCATATCCAGAAGCAAACTACTTGAGCGGTCCCACGCTAGAATCTGAGGGCAAATCTACACGCCCAAAAAGCCACACGACCTGAGGCCCTGCTGCAAACCTCCAGATTCCAGTAGCGGTAAATAAGGCCCGCCCCACGAAGGCTGTTTGAGGATTTCAGCCGAGGTTTCCCTCAAGGAACGGTAGTGGTCGTGGTTGGTGTATAGTGTACACATTTACCATGAAGACGAAATTGCAAAGGGGAATTCCCTAAAGTTGGAGGATGGGAATTCAAAGGGGCTTCAAAAGGAGACCATTGCCATCAGGTTCTTCTTTTACCCCGTCCCTTCCAGCAGAATTCCTGCGAGCCTTTCCAGACAGCCTTCATTCGGGCGTAGCAGCTTCAGCAGCTTTGATCCATGCGATTTTTCGAGCGAACAGAAGTAACATTCAGGGTAACCAAGGCTGTTTTCATTCGATCTAGGTCTGGGAATTGCGCAGCGAGTCCATCACCCTCCCCCTCAAGAAAGAAAAAGCATAGGTAGTTTTAGCATGGCCTAGCAAGCGATGACACAAAAAAGGAGAAATGGCTGCTCAAACAAATGTACATGTACCGAAATGTTGCCCCCTTGGTAAATGGAACCAAAGACTAAAACCTGTGTAGCCCTAGCTCTTGAATTTTGAGCCACACAGGCAACCGGAAAGTGACACATTGTTTTCTTTCTGCAGACCTCCTCCTCACCAGCCAACCACCAAAATGGCATCAGGTCTCCCTGTGGCCGCTTTGGGCCAACCAAAAAGGAAGATGCTTTCTTTCTGGGACCTCCAGACCAGACAAAGCAAGGATGTGTGGGTGTTTCTGTTGCCCGATGTCCCCTTGCCTTCCTTTTAGTTGGTCACCGGATGCACCCGGCGGACGGTGTCAACCATCATTGCTAATAGCGAGTGAAGTGAACAGCAGCATCGCGTTGGGTGAAAGTGGAGGGCACAATGCACTGGATTAGTCATCCCCTTTATATGCTTACCCACGTAAAGGGAATTGTGACATCTAGTTTTACCCTTGTGTAAACTCTTTAACGGTTCAGAGTTTCACCAATGCTCGACACAATTGCAGACCTGCCGCCGGCATTGACTTGAATGCGAAATGTCTGCATTGGGATGTCCAGTGGCCCTTCCGGCTAAGGAGCCGGAGAACGAGACCAACGACACTAACACCACCTCCAGCGCCTTCGGAAAGGAAACGGGACCGGATGGGATGAATTGCAACAAGCTGCCTCAGCGAAGCACGAATCATTAACGCCAGTAGCTAAGCATGTTTGAGCCATTGGTTGGCATAAGGGAACTTGAAGGGCATTGTTGTCGCGGGCCTCTTTGGCTCTCGTTTCCAGACTTAGGAAACTGCCAACTACCTTAGCACTTGAGCTGGCTTCTTGATGCGCCAATGAAAGCATATGGTTTACGCAGCGGTATATATAGTTGCCAGGTTTCGGTGGCAAGCAAACAAGCTATGGCCATTTTTCCTGGGACATTGGCATGCTGCCCGAGCACGCAATTTCCACTTGGGATCAACGAGCCTCTGTTGCTTGCTTTGGGGACTCATCGATTCCTGGCGAACCTAATGCCAACTGTCATGATGAATCTGAATCTGAAGTGCACATTGAACCTTTCATGCAAGATTTCTGGTGACAAAAGCGCCCTGTGCGTACGGAGCCCCTGCCTGGGTGCGGGGGTCAAAGACGCGAATGAGTTGTAAGTAGGCATCGTCGGTAGTCCCTCAATTTCCCTGTGTGGACCTTGGCAACAAGTGGCACGGTTACTGGAATCTACCAACACGTTGCAACATAATGTGGGGAAATCCAGTGACGTCTAATTTATTTTCTTCATATCGAACCAGGATGAGCTCGCAGTGAGTTCCTTGGATATATTGCCCGCAGCATTGGCGTGCACAAGCGTTTGCAAGGATCCGCCTTATCATAAAGCGGACTCATTTGACCCGGGACGGTGTCAATATATCGATGCATACGCGGGTAAGCGGGTATGTGTCAAAATGGGGGGTGGTACCCCCTCAGCAACAAAATGTTGCTTTCCTTCGGTTCTGTTCAATCACACTTGAAATGGGTACTGTGAAAACCCATACACCTGTATTGTGCTTGATTGACGGGGAAAGACCTGGCTGCGGTCAATATCCAAGAACTGCAAGCACTTTAAAATCAAAGACACCTGAGTTATGTTGGGCGCATCAAAACCATTCTTGGCGGAAGTTTTGAATCCATGGGCTTCTGAAATAATGCCTCTAGTCTTTTACTCTCAGATATTTAGCCGACTTCGACTGAGCCAAGGCACCATCACTACTACCATCACCAACACAACTCAGACAACGACCACAACTGCTACTGTGACTTCCACAACGGCTCCTGGGCGAAACGACCGAATGCGCCAGCAAACTCCCGGGAATCAGCTCGGTTGGACTGATCAGCTGCGCTGAACCGGTGGACCTCCGTGAGCTTCGCGAGTGCGTCTCGTACAAACCCCTGCAGCTGAGGGTGTTTTGCTTTCCCTTCTATACCCGTCCAGAGAAAAGGTCTCCAATGTTGAGAGAGAAAACTTCGAGGCTGCAGGAAGATAGTTAGACGCACAGGAGATCAGATAGGGATGACACGAGAACGCTTGTAAGGAGACGTCACTTTATGGGTGTTTGTGGCGCCTCAAGCCCACAGCCCTTTTTGAGAGCTGCCTCGCGCACAACGGCCCAATGCCGCATTGTGCCAATTGCACAACGCCTTGGAACAAGTTAGCCCTTCAATGCCCTAGGTACGGTACAATTGCCACTTTTGGGTCCCTAGTCCTTAGGACGACTCCCTGGCGGTCACCCGATGGATTTCGCATCCCCTTGGCAGCCAACTGCGAAGGTGCCAAAGGAAACACACACACAATGGTTGAGATCAGATTGGCATCCTCAGGGAGGAGATTTCTATGTAACAGTACGAGGGACATCGCTGGCAAGTCACAGAGCACTCGCAACACATCGAAGAAGCAGCCGCGGACGACGCTGAAAACGCCAAGAATTTCGCCAACTGGCCATGAAACTGAAGAGGGCACCCTTGAAACCTGGTTGCGCGTGAACCAAAACAAGGTTTCACCAAAAGCTACCCACAGACAAGACCCCAGTTATGCAGTGCCGTGTCTCGGTGATTTGTTTTTGCCCCGCGAGCACCCGGCAGCGCAATTGCTGAGGCTACCTTTACGGAACCACCCTCTACGAGCTTTACCTGTGCCCGAGTTCCGCGGGTCTCTCTGAAAGTTGCAGGACCGGCGCGGCTGTGGCTGGCAACATCGGCATGCTGTTTTTTTTGCTGGATTTTCCACAAAACACGATTTGTGTTTGGGGGGCATGTTAATTTGTAGGGGATTTGTAAAGAACTGACCTTATTGCTTCAATTCTCAAGAAATCCCTTGACACTCATGTTAGCTTCGGATTAATCAGGAGAACAAACCCATTGAGGCTTGGTCCCGAATCCTTTCATTTTAGGGGGGATTCTTTCATTGATGTAGTCTCCGGATGTTTCTGAAGACCTGTGTGTATCTCTTTGCCTACTTTTCTACTGTACCCGTCCAGGAGACTTCTACACAACAGGTGTGCCGACAGGCGGGGAGGGGAAGAAAAGGCGGGGCGGTGGTGATGCGCTTGGTGTAATGCAGAATACTGTACATGGCAGGAAGAGCGACTACGATATGCTGTTCCGTACGTGTTGCTTTTCTTTCAAACAATGTGGATATTCACATTGTACAAACATGTAATATGTATAATACATATATATGTAATATACACATGTAGATTTATCATATTTTGACCATGTTTCAAGAACCAAGAGTACAATGGGTTCTGGGCGCTGCTCATACACATATGAGCCTATAAGGTCTTCATGTCAAAGTGTGAATCATGCCCCGTCAGTTTGGATGCCTGTGGCTAGTTCTCCGCATCAGTTGGATCAATCAAGGGCTTCATGGCAGAGGTCCATGGGTCGATGATTTCGAACTCGCAGCACCTGCAGAGAATGAGAACCAGGGACTTTCAGGTCGTCTCTCTGTTAATGACCCCGCAAAACTGCCTGGGAGGTAATTAAAGGGACGCCAAATGGCCAAAAGGAGAGAAACCATCTTCTTTTGGGATCAGAGAGAAATCTGAATACGAAACCAACCAATTGTGAGCGTCCCTATCGTATCACCCGTACTAAAATAGCATGCTCAGTTCTGGTAGGTGCGCGCAGCGTGGCTGTGCACTACAACGGTGTCGACGGACTGGTGGTCGCTTTTACTTCCGCAGGACGTGCTGGGATACCAAAATAATCTTACCATCAGAAGCATAGTACACTTCGAGCCCGTGGAATATTCAGGACCTAAAATGCCAATTAAACGACCAATGGGATTGTTGACGTGTAGTTGGACTTGCTTGGTTCAATTCCAATTACCTGGCCACGAGGCCGAATTTCCTTGTGATTATGGGGTCAGCCGTCGCCAATTCACTTGCGTGCGTGTCTTGCTGAGGCAAGTGGCTCATGCGGGCTGTGGCGTGGATTCGTTCGCACTCAAGTTGTCACTTGATGGACGTCTTGGGTTTAGCTGTCCTTTCCTCGAAGAGGGGTGGTGAGAGGCCCAGGAATTCGACACACTATATTCGCAAAGCAAAAAGCCGGATTGGATGCATCATAATGCACAGGCGGGGACCGGGGCATGTGTAAGTCATTTGTTTTTTTTTGTTTTGCTGGCGCCCTAGTCCCATTGCCGTTGTTTTCTTCTTTGGCGGACTGCAAATATATATCTATATATAATTATATATACACATATATACATGTAAACATGAATGTGTGGCTGTGTCTTGAGGATTGGCACAAAGCATTTTGCAGATGCCAGGAAATTGCGTTCTGACAGAGGCATGGTCGTGTGCGCGCGCACACACACACACACATGCATGCCGTATCAGATGAGTTTGGTAGGCTTTTGCGCAAGCCTTGAGTGTCGCATGCTGGACGGGGTTGATTGGCATGATCATGCCGTTTTCGCCCATCAAACATAAAGCATGCAACTCAGCATGTCGTTACTGGTGACTGCGAGTTTTGGCAAAACAACGTGGTTGTGGTTTCAGACGGCAAACGGGGCATGGCAGGAATTCGGGTCTGGCGCATTATGCAAGCGGTCTCACTTCCAGCATATGCGCTTGCGTCGCCCATTCCTTTTGGGTGCGGCTCCCCGTGCAGAATCATCAAGCAGCAAAGTGATTTTGTTTGTTGACGCCACTCAGACTGGGCTAACAAGTCGTGTAAAGCCAGGAGGTGAAGCCCTCGGACGAAGCTCCCATCCAGTTGTGCAAACACCCATACACGCCGAAAGAGAGAGAGAGAGAGAGAGAGAAGTCAGTGGATTGGACCGGAAAGCAATACATGTCATGATCCATGATGGGACCGGGTCGTCTCCCGAGTGGTATTCCTGCCTGGCTTGAACCTCATGTGCGTATCTGCTGGTAAGATAGGTTGGGTTGATCGGTCAAACCGAAACCTCCGATTCCTATGGGTTCTCTCGTCCGGCAGGAGCGCTGTTGGTGACGGTTGGCATTCGCCAGTCAGGCCGGGTGCCGGGTATAGTGATGGGCATGTGGATATGCGGACCTTCACTTCGAAGCCACGGGTGCGGCAAAGAACAGACTCTCTCTTCCGGTGTGTTTTTTTTTTTGTGTTCGTCAACTAGACACAAACCAGTTTGCGCCATTTCTCATTGCCATCGGGCATCTTTGTCGCAAAGATAGGATGCTTCTTCCTGAAATGCTTGCACGAGTACTGCACGGCTTAAAATGCTTCTATCGTGCCCACTGGAGGGCTGAGTGCAGCGTGAGGGTACCAGAGGAGCTGCTTTAGTGCAGTTTCTGCCTGTGAACCAGCCTGACCTCAAGCATTCCAGATCCTTCGGTTCAGGCGACATGGGCCGAAAGTCAGCAATTGGAAGCCCCACAATGGCCACTCGCCTGAAGCTTTGTTTCGGTGCCTATTTACCACAACCTCAAGCTGGCACCCGGAGTAGCTGTTAAAGGATCAGGCAATCAATTTGCCGACCGTCTGACTCGGCAACCTGCTGGCCATTAGACTATGCGTGTGAATATTAGACAGCTTGACTCGCAAGTGGTGGGCATGTGTCCCCAGCTATACATTTGGCCGTTTTGTGACCTTATGGACACTTCTGATTCATTTGCTCGAACTGCAAGTGCTTCAAGCAGGGGCTGCCCAAGGGTCACCGGTGAACCCTGTCAAGAGAACTATGACCTGAGCATGGCACTGCGGGGTTCAATGAGCCATGCTCAAAGGGACCCTGTCATGGCCGGTGCGTACTTTTGTCTTTGTCTAAGCTGTGCAGAAGTGATCAGATCTCTATTTGGTGATCTTTTGGGGGCCCACTCAATGGAGTTCTCCGTCCCAATGCCATGTTGTTGGATTTTCCACTGCGTTTGTGGTGGCAAGTCCAGTCCACTTGTGATCTGTCTTTCCGAACTGGCTTTTCCAATGCCATCCAATCATGTTTCTGCCTGATTTACAGCCAGCTTGGGGATATACCGAGCTCACCATGATAAATTGATTAGTCCTTTTCTTTTTCATCCCAACAAGTCAGCTTTTGGAACCAGAATAAATTTGCAGAGCGCTTTCCTCAGGCTTCTCCGATCCAATGCGACGCGTAGGAAGCTTCCGGATCGTCTCGACCAGGGTCATGGTACTGGGGCCCTGCGAGCCGGCTGCAGGAGATCAACGCCGCTCAGGACCGAGCCATGGGCTTTGCCTCAAAGGGGAGACCTGTCCATTTGGGTGGCTCGTCTCTAGTTCTTTCTTTTGGGGGGGTACCCTTTTTTTGGTTGTATTAAACGGCAACCAAGAAAGGACAACCACCATGTTATGGTTTTGATTTTTTTTGTTTATGGGGAGGGGGGGTTGCCTAGAAACAGTCACTCCCAAATTGAATGGTTTCCCCTAAAGCGTTCCTTAGCCCCTCGGGAACTGAGCCTCAAAGAAGAAATACGAACTCGTATTGGGCTTTGGGGATTACAATTGCATGGGTATCTGTTTCAATCAATATAGTATCATTGTTTTTTTGTGCATGGGTTCCTTGTGTTTGGGTTGTTTCTTGTTTTTGATTTCTTCATTTGGTTCTTTATGTATTGCTTTGTTTCTTGTGTAATGCCTTGTGTTCTTTATTGATGTATGTTTTAAGAACCAACCAATATTTATTTAAATCTGTCTTGCGTTATTTATTGATTTATTCATGTTTGTTGTTGGTTTGTGTCTTTCTCTATGTGTGTTCTTCTTTATTAATTCACTTGTGTATGTTTGTCTTGGCTTATTGTTGTTCTCTATTTATGGATGTGTTTCCTGCCTTCCTTCCTTCCTTCCTTCCTTCCTTCCTTCCTTCCTTCCTTCCTTCCTTCCTTCCTTCCTTCCTTCCTTCCTTCCTTCCTTCTTTCCCTTGTTTCTTCTTTGTTTTTGATGCTGCACTGTGTTTTGGCCTTTCGTTATTGTTGGTATGTCATTTTTGATATTTGTTTGTGTTGTTTTATTTGTTTGTTTATTTCGTTGGTTTAATGTTTTAGTACTTGTTTTCTGTCGTTCGTTCTTTACTCGTTTCATGTATGTGTTTTTTTTGTTTTTTTTCTGTCATGTATGTGTTCTTGTTTACATGTATTTTTTTTTCAAAATACATTTATTTATGTATTTATTTGACGATTTATTGATTTATGTGTTTACCGTGTTTGATGTGCTTCCTCATTTCTGTTATTATGACTTTATATGTGTGCGTGCATTTATTTCTTTATTTCTTTCTTTCTTTCTTTCTTTCTTTCTTTCTTTCTTCTTGTTCTTCCTTCTCTTTCTTTCTTGCTTTCTCTCGTTCTTTGTCTCTTTTTTCTCTCTTTCTCCTCTTTTTTCTTTGCTTTTCTATTTGTCTTCCTCGTTTATGTTCCTTGTATATTGCTCCCTGTTCTTTCTCTTTACATCTTCAAGTCTTCTGTTCTTTTTCTCTTCTGGTTCCTTCTTTGTTACATTGTTTCTTCCTTTTTTTCTTTCTGTCTTTCTTTCTTTTTTGTTCTTTCTTTGTCTCGCTCTTTATGCTTCTCTTCTCTCGCTCTCATTATCTTTCTCTTTTGCTTGTTCTCTTCTTTTTTTTTCTCTTTCACCAGTTCTCCGCCTGCCTGTCTTGAAATCTTTCCCTGGCCTCACGACAGTGCTGCGCCAGGCACGAAATCAGCAACTGGCCTTCTGAAAGTGCTGCGCCTGACATTGCGCGAAAGCGCGGAGAACGAGAGCTGCACCTGCGAAAGTGCTGCGGCCACCCAAACTAATGTTGCAAGTGCGCGCGTCCGTGCCAATGGGCCCGGCTCCGAGAGCGCTCCGAGCCCGCTCCAGCCAGGCGTTGCGAGCAGGCGAACTTTCGAGCAAGCTGAAACCCGCAGAGGGTTGTACTGCTTTTGCACATTTTCTTTTCCCCTGCACACTCGCGTGCGTTTTGTTTGTGCCTATTCTTCTCTTGCTTTCTGTCGGAGAGCTAAATTTCGGATAGTGTCCGTACCCTTGTAGATTTAAAACGTAGATTGAGCATTGCGAAGCCACACGTCCAACCTAAGTTCGGTTCTGCAACTGCATGGGGGATCTGTGAAACATAGATGCTCTGAAGTTACCCCTCTCACCCACCAACATGCAACCTGACTTGCACGACCCCAAGAGACCACTTGTTTTTCCAGCAGACCTCCCGTTGAGACCCACGCAAGTAGGTGGGTAGCTGGGAGAGATTCTTATTTGAATCGATGGTATTTTTCCACATCCCTGCGCGCCTTCAACGCCCAGGTAGGCAGCGAAAGCGTTTGGCGAAAAGTGTGTGATCACATCGCCATTCACGCAGAGGCAACTTCCGCATCCTGAATTGAGCTTCACCCAGCGCCTAGCTGAAAGGTGTTAGATCTTCAGTTTTTAATATGCTAACAGCTTATGAGGGACCTGGGCATGCAATGGTAGACCTTCTCTGGAAATTTACGATCTGCGAGTGAATCTTTTTGACCAGTTGCATGAGCCCCTTGTGCAAATAATTAATGTTTGTTTGCTCCAGCGGGACTTCCAAGAGGGCTTGCTTCCCGGGATGTCGAAAGAACCAACAAACCAGCAAGCCTACAACGCAAGAAGACCCATGCCCGAAGGTTTCCCACCCCTTCGCCCGTTGGGATTGCACCCCGTGTGTTGACCCCATAGGACTTCCTCGTATCTCTGGTGCGACTGGGCGAGCGCAGTGTGGCACTGGCGTTCCGCGACGCGAACCGCAGGCGGTTTGGGTCACCGGGTCACCGCGGGGCTCGGTTGACGTCATGGGTTTGTCGTTGTTTGAGGGAGCCCTCCAAGTGGTTTCACGGTGGCTTCCAAAAACAGCAACAACCACAAAACGGGTAAAACTGTGGTCTCAAGACAACATATAGTCAGGGGTACACTTCCAACAATATGGAACCTGACTGGGGCCCCAGAAGGTCGGGAGTTGTTTTCATTTGGCTCACTCTGCGGCGAGATAGCCCAGGATGAAAGTCCTTGGTCCTTTACCCTTCTTTCTGGTTTGTGAATCATAGTTGTGTTGCCCAGATATGGTAGATTATAAGGGGTACCACAACATGCCATGGCTTCTTGGTCGAATATGGTTAGTTTTCTTGCAATATTTCGGGCAACTGGCCCTGGACCGCCTTTGGGAGGGTACAATTCATCGCTCAAAAGGACCCCTTGTTAGCTTACCCGTTTGCGGGAAGGATTTCTTAGGTGTGCCAAAAGTCATGACATGTGTTTGTTTGGGTGACAAAGGGAGCCTATGATCACGACTTCCAGCTTGCTAAGGATAGGGAGCAGTAGATAAACCTAAACGCAATGCTGCGAGGCGCAGACTTGCTACGGGATTGACATGCACCGTGCGCTGTTAGAGAAAGCGAGCCCAGACGTTGACCTAGGACGTTTCAGCGTTTAGCTGCCTTAGCTTCATTGGATGTTCTGCGAGACTTGAATGAATGGAGCGTACGAATCCAAACCAAAAACTGACATGCTGTCAAGGCGGATGTACCCTTGGTCCCATTTTAACCCCAGATCCTCAAGGCTTGGGGCAACCCTAGGCATGCACCAGTACACGAGCTGATGGAGACAGTGCTATTTGGACATGGAGGGATAGTTTCACCGGATCCATGAGATGGGAGTTCAGTGAAGGCTTTAAGCGGTGTCCGTTTGGTTTGCCTAGAGGCGCCGAGTGGCAAGGCTTTGGTAAACCTTGCAAAGGGCATTGCGGACTCAGAGAGGGTGAGGTCTTCGTCTTTCGGACGCGGACCTTTTTAAACTGGAGCTGCTTCCATATCGGCTACGCAATAAGAAACATCCTCACGCATAGTTGGTTGACTTCCAATGCTGAAACATGATGTGCACCAGATGCTCCCAGTTAAAAATCATGTCTATATGGCAGCGACATGGAGCTAGTTTCATTCTCAAAGTTCAGTTGGCAGCTGTGTTGCAAAATGCTCGGCTCACATGCAGTGAGCTAGGCACTTCGGTGGCAACTGACACACGACTTCGATGTAACAGCCCATCTCGCTAACCCATTCAGCTATTACCTCCCCTCAACAATATAGGTTTCCTCGAGAAAACAGCATATGAAAAGCGTCCGAGCGCTTTGCTCTTTGATTGTTAAGTGTTCTAGACATGATGGGCTACTGGACAGCCAAGCAATGAAACAAGTTACATGTACGTGCATACATTAGTACATGCATAGATACGCACATAGATGCATACATAGATGCATGGTGGCATTGATGCATACATACATCCATACCCACATAAACACCAACACTGATTCACAGATATGTAGATACATAGAGACGTTGATGCAGGCAAACACATATTCGTAAATACAGAGATACAAAGCTACATAGATGCCCATGCATGTACTTGATTGGTGCTTACCTCTTATGTCGACCTGTTGTTTTTGTTGTTCAACCGACTATTGACCGCGTGTACGTTCCGCACATTTTCCAGCAGGCAATATCATGGAAATCCGGTTTTACTTCTGGCTGTGGCCAACATAGTTGAGATCCCCGCTTGTGGAAAGTGGGGACCATATATAGGAGGAAATGGGGCTTGCGATGTCCTATGCGAGGAAAATCCTCTTCAATATCTAAATTGAAATAGGAAGTCCAGCTATGTTTTTTCTTTGAGAAGGAATGTATATTTGAAGTATGTTTAAAGGTTGGAGCTCTACTAGAATTATGTGTTTATGAAGTAAGACTCCCAATTAAATATACAGTTTAAAGGTAATTCCTTTTTGGATCATCTTTGAATGTGGAAATGGATTTAATTACATTTGTTCGCTTTTTATTTCTCGTTGACTCTCCGCTAGGAAATAGGCAAAATCAATCTATAGAAAGAACCCCTCTGTAAAATCTAATTTGAAGTAAGACATCGAATTAGAAACCTTCTTTGAAAAGAAACGGTTTAAATTATTGTTAACTATACATGCTACTAGAATGATTTCCTTGTCAAGTTAAATTTAAAGTCTAATCAATCAATTACAAAACGGAAAATGTGTTAAACTCTAATTTAACAAGCATCCTTTTATTTACAAATCTTCTTTGAACGGGAACACCTATTTAGATACGCTTTCCCTACTAGAATAATTTCCTTAGTAAATTCAAGATTAATGCTGAATGAAAAATGCAAAGCACAACCCCCGAAAAAGAAACGGAGGCACCCTTTACAGTCTAATTTGAAAACATATATCATATTTGATTCACTGGTATATGCGATGTGTTCTGCCTGTTTTGGGCTTTGGGGAAAGCAGCAACCGAAAGGGGGCGCATTTATCTACCTTTGTCCTATGTCTACTCGGTTTGGTCAGAAGATGCCAAAAACAAGCAGAAGTCAGCGCCCCAACACCGTTTCAACCGTTTGAGCCAATTTTCAGACGACAGTCAGGGCTCCAAACCGATTGAACCCGTTGAAACCTTTTCTCAGAGAAAGTACCTCCCAAGAGTTCTACCTGAGAAAGGGTTCAAATGGTTCAAACGGTCTAAACGCTGTAAACGGTTTTGAGTGCAGACCTTTCCTTTGAGAAAGGGCTTAAACGGTTTAAACATTTCAAACGGTTTTGGGCCCGGACCTTTCATTCGGTTTAAACGGTTTTGGGGCCCGGACCTTTCCGCTGATAAAGGGTTCAAACGGTTCAAATGGTTTAACAGTTTTGGGCCCTTGACCCTCTTCGTTGAAGCTTCCAGATTGTCTTTGGACATGCGCCCCTTTTGTTACTGCTTTCCCCAAAGCCGGAGAAAACAGGCGGAGAACGCCGCAAATATCAGTGAATTCCGAAGATCGTGGACATTGGAGGGGGCACCATATCTATATATATATATATATCCATATCAGAAATTCATCATACACGCAGCATACATATGTGCACATTGTACATTGCAAATGGTTTCGATACATATTACACAATATACACACACATTGAAGACACATATATACATTTATATTCATATTTATATATATATATATATGTACATAGACATGTACTACACATGAGATGTCTGCCACTAGCTTCGCAGAGGCCCACTCTGCACACGCTGCTGCTTGGCCCTGGGCGAGCAGTTTCTGCCTGCGCACAAGTCCTCCCAGAGGCCGCCGCCGAAGCTCGTTTTGATCGTTTGATGTTCCCATGTTGGTCCACCAAAAGGTAAAGACCTCATACTTCATTTGCAGGTCCTTTGGGCAAGGGAGTCTTAATTCCCGCATTTGGCCATAATGGTGCCGAACTGCATGTTGCGGCATCAGATTTCCTGATGTATCGTTGTTTGGCAAGCGTTCCGAGCAGGGGTAAGCCGGGCAATGCTGCGCCTGTGATGAAGGCTTTCCCTATACCTAGGTCTTCCATTTGGTCACCTTCTACGGCACTGGGCATTTGTTTGGCTCATTTCAGATTTTGAGCGGAAAAATCTGAAATGAGCGGAAACCTTGATTTGGCATGATTTGGCAAGTCGTCTCCCGGATAATGAGCGGGACATGAGTACAAAAATCTGAAATTTTCGGACACACACATGGACACGTTTCCAATTGAGTGCTTTTTTTTCTTTTTCTAATTGAGCATTTTTGGGTGAAATGAGCGTTTGTTTGCTAAAACGGAAAACAATCTTGCTAATGCGCGGGTTTGGCGCTGCTGACTCAGCTTGCCCTTATTTGGTTGAGATGTTATGCCTGAGCCTCTCGTCAATCCAAGGTTGGCATGTTTCCCCGCACAAAAAGCAGAGTCGGAATTAGAAAGCAACTTGGAGCTTGCCCAGTTTCCCACGCATCCAGCGAAACTTTATAGAAGACTTCCCTGTGTTTCACCAGGCGGCCGGCGCGTTGGAGAAATAGCTATGGACGGGTTGGAAACTATAGCGATCATTAGCATTCGCCCAGAATATCTCCCCAATAGATTGGCACGCCCCAGTTTGTTCCATGTATGAGAAGTTACTCTAATGTCTGCGTCAGATGAATCAACCCAGCCTTGTGGATTCTCAGCGGCCTGTTGCCCCCAAAGGTGATCCGATTCCCCTCCACACGGAACACCCCCATGAATCAACCAGGGACGGGACAATTATAGCAAATCCAATGTTCGCATTTTGGGTTCTAAATGCCCAATGTTCTTCTTTCCAAGCAACGCCAAAAACAGGCGAGCTATTTTTGTTCACCTTGTCCAGCCCCGCTATGTACGGGGCATCATAAGCCACAGGGATGTTGCGGTTATATCATTCGATTCGGCTTTTTGTGTTGCGCCAACCATAGGCCCAGTTGAAATGATCGAACGGCCACCAGGGCCACCAGCATTTCATGTGGCTAGGGGCCCATCTCCGAGCTCCAGCTGCTGCAGTCTGCCCAGGGCTTCTGGCTGCTATACGCGACAGACCAAGGCACGGCGCACAGGGCTGCCCTCCAACTTCGGTTTGTGGTTTTGGATGGTACCCTTTTTTGGTTCGTTGTTATTTTGGTTAGAATACCATTTTGAATTAAAGGATGCCCCTATTCGGACAATCCACTTCGAAACTGACTGGAGGCGCTTGGAAGACCAGTTTCGTTTTGAAGCCACCTTCTCTCAGCTTCCACGTCAGTCGGTGGGAGAACATGATTATCATGTCTTGCTGAGGTGGGAAAAAAACAAACTGTTCATGTCCTCGTCGCTTTAGACATGTTGGGCCCAAACAGTTTGATAGTTTTATTGCAGCTGCGTCAGCAAGGCAGCATACAACACAGATACGTGTTTGGAGAGGTTGTTGAGGTATGTTCCCAAACTTTTGCTTCCCAAGACATGACAATGTTGTTGTAGCTGGGAACTCGTTCCCGTTACGCGGACAATATTTGGAAATGGACTCGTATGCATTGCTACCAATAGCATACTGTATATTATCAATGCGGATTCCACATGCCACTGTGGGCTGCCCACAGCTAAAACACATGTGGGCTTGCCACTTACATTTGGTCCCACTTGTATGATGGCAACCTAAGCAATAGCATGCTGCTAGTTCTGATTGATATGACGCCTTGAACATGTTACTGAAATGAATATTGAATCATTAAATACGTTCATCGATTGTTTAAATTCTAGCGAGAGTGGGTCAACCCGGAATGAACCCTCGCATCCCTGTGGACAGCTCGAACAACTTTGCTTTGCGATGAGAAGCTCAATGAAAATTGCTCCTTGATGCCAACTTCCGAGCAGCCCAGTGGTGCCGGGATGATCCATCCATAAGATTCACATGCTTTGATTGGCAGTGCCTTGTCCTTTGGTCAGTTTAAAGTTGATGGTTGCCAACCTTGTTTGGCAGGATGTTGACCCTCTCACATGGCTTGGCCCCGTGTTGTCCTGTGACTGTGACAAAAAACATGGGGCAACTCGGGTACGACCTTTGAGCCTTTGACGGTATCTACATGAGAGTCGTCCGAAAGGTCCGTGTATTGAGCTATGAAGGGGAAGACCTTTTGGTCTTAGCGTTGACCTTCGCGAAAGTTCCGCGAAGGGGGTCGCGCAAGTTAATTGTTTTTCCGCGAAAGTTTTGTGTGGCTTGCGAACAGGAAGCTGGAGTGATGAATCATGTGTATTTACCGGCAGTGCGCGCAGAGTGCCTGCAGACTAAAGTTGGTCGGAGAATGCGCAGCCTGAGGATCGCCACAAGAATACGCCGCTGCAAAAGAAACCCCCGCCCAGCAGAAACCAGCTTCTGGGAGGGTTGAAGCTGTCGGGGCAAGCTGAGCGCAGCTTCCAGCCGGATTTTCGCGAATGTTTGGCGTAAGATCCGCGAAAGTTTCGCGAAGTCGACGGACCTCTCCGCCAGTTTCCGGACATGAGGCCAACGGGTCCTCTCACGCGTGGCTCACGGCTTGTGAGCTGGAGCTGCGGAAGCGCGCTTCGCGTGCTACTTTGGAACTGGAAGGCCGCGACTTTCGAGCTGGGGCTGCGGAAGTTCACTTTGTGTACTACTTTCGTATTGAAAAGTTCTGACTTTCGAGGCTGAGGGAGTTTAGTTCGTGTACTACTTTCGTTTTCAAGCCGGGCTGCGGAAGTTTACTTTAAGTACTACTTTCGCACTGAAGAGCTGCGACTTCGAGCTGAAGCTGCGAAAGTGTACTTCGTGTACTACTTTTGTGACGAATGCTCTGAAAACAGCCCCGCGAAAGTTCCGCGATGGGGTCCGCGAAAGTTATTTTTTTTCTCGCGAAGATGGCGGTTTCCGGAACAAGGAATTTCAGACAACCGTCATATATATATATATACTTTTTCGGATCCTGCCAATGGCAAGTAACACAGTTTTTGGACCATAGGTATTTGGTCCATTTCCATAGCTTTCACGCAGTTCGAACGAATCTGGAAGTACGTCAAGACTAGGGAAGCCCCATAGTTTCCGTCTTTTCCCACTTTCATACAAGATGTACCCATTTAATTCCACTTCCTGTGGAGCTTCTCAGGCACGTTCCCCTATGAACTAGGGATCCTTGAGGCTTCACAGCCTACGGGAATTGCAAAATGGCAATGAGTTTCACCACGGTCGAGCCTTGTTGTTCCGGTTTCCTCTTCCCGCTAAAGCTGGCTGTTAACAACTCGCACGTGCAACTACTTTTGAGACATTCCCGGGGCACTCATGGCCAGAGAAACAGAGAAGCAGGGGCTGGGGGATCTCCTGCTTCGGTCTTGCCCAGCCATACATGTTCCTTCTCCGAGCAGATCCCAGGCAAGCGGTAGAGTACAGTACGTAACAATCCATTTTTAGCTTTCAAGGGGTGGATCTTTGGACCTGTGAAGCTGGGGCCTGCGGCTCGGCGGACCTGCAAGTCGGACCGTGCTGGGACTTGAAAAGTGACCCCCGAAAATGTTGGCAGCCATGGAACCTGGACCCTGGAGCTTGGACCCGGGGTGATGCTAGGGCATCTGAAGGTTGATCCAGCACCAGCTTCTCCCAATCCGATCATAAAGATTCCGTTCCGCGTGAATGTCAGGCGTTCAAATGAACCAGCACAAGCTTTGCGTCACGTCCATTTGGTGTGTGTTGTCATGACCGTCCTTCTCGTGATAACGTTCCATTCGCTCAAATCATCCCCATGAAGCTTGGACTTAACTTGGACGGGGACCCCAAAGTTCCCCCAAGGTGCTTGGCCTTTCGTGGTGTCGTCCGAATGTTGAACCCCTGAAGCTGGAAGTGTGGGGGACCTGAATGTTGGAGCCAGGGTGGTGCGAGAGTTTCACCGAAGCTTCGACATTCGAGCGGCAGGGTCGCAGAACCGCACGCACAGCTTGAGTTGCTTCAGAGATCCATGAATAGAACCACTGGATTGTTGAAAATCCCCCAGTGCTTCCTTGTGGGCGCCGATTTTTCCAAGAGCCACGCGCCTGGCGCAGGTGTTTGGGTGCGCTTTGCCTGGGGCACCGGGCCCTGGAACCTGAATCTGCAGGCGCGACCGGGGATGGACGTGGGACCTGGGATCAAAGGTGACGAAAGGAGCAGACCCGATCGGCGCGACCGGGAGCAACCCCGATGCATTCAGTTGGTAACACCTGAGATTCTCAGGCCAGCACCTTGCAAGCACTTGACGCTTCAGAAAAGAAGACCTCTGGTTGGTAGAAGTATTGACCGCTCTGTCTTGTAACCGTATCTTTCAGCGCCTCCTACAGCTCCAAATATCGATCAGTATGCTCATCGCCTGTTTAGACATGCTTAGCTCTGAGCTTTCTTTTGTTGGATTAATGTTTCGGGGTTCTGGCATTTCCGTCCTATATGGCATTCGCACATCAAAAAGGCTTTCGATGTTGTGAAGCCCGAAGCTACAATTTCCACTCGAACGATGCTGAGAAGCGAGTTTGCCTCACTTTGTTTCCTGAGTTTGATTTGTACATTTGATCTCTTTTCCCGAGTTTGTTTGTGGCCAGCACCAGTTGTGAACGCTTGTCAAGCTTAGCTGTGGTGTCCTTTTCAACCATGAAGTCAGTGCCCCTTTCCGTCGGGCGATCACACAAAATTTGGAAGACCCATAAGGCAAGCAACTATCTTTTCCCCGACCCACCTATTCAAGTCACATATATGGAAACAGACAGCGATAGGCAGGATGGCGTCTAAGCAAATTACGCCTTGGGCTCGGGCCCGGGCTTGGGAAATGCTAAATTGGCTCAAATCCACTCAACCAGTTGATCCAGCCGCAACCTGCTGAGAGTCTTGTTTTAAATTTGAGTACACACATACGGCGGACCAGTTGAACCACTTTCTGGACTGCAGAACCGAATTTGCCAGTCGGTAATCAGTCAGTCACCTGATCAGCCACCCAGGCAGTTACAGTTGTTGGGTCGGCCACCCATCCAACCACCCATCCAGCCACTCACTCACCCACCCACCCACCCAGTCAGTCAGTCAGTCAGTCAGTCAGTCAGTCAGTCAGTCAGTCAGTCAGTCAGTCAGTCAGTCAGTCGGTTTGCACACCACAACCTCATAAACTATGGCATCGTGCTATTTTGTATGGATGCGTGGGATGGCCCGCACAGGAAAGCACGCAGATTTGGCCAGAAAAGTGTTTCACTTGTGGGCGGGCCTGTGGATGCACAACCAGCTGCGGATGGAAGAGACCCAAACACTGGGAACGAAAAACCTCCAATCCCAAGTTGTGGCGTGTATCGTGAAAGTTGTCTATCCACATACTGAATGAAAATCAATGATTTCTCAGGCTTCCCTGAGCAATGAGGAAGGACCCTGGAAGCTGTCATTGACATTGAACATGGATTAAAATCCACGCAAACTATTTCAAGCCATGTTTGTGGATGGACAAAAATCCGCAACAGTTGGTAGGTGGTTTATCACGGCATTCATAGGGTCTCATCCTTTCCAACTGGTGCCCGTGGATTTTGTCCAGCACCACCTGCGTAGAATTGCCACTTGGCTGCGGCAATCGTCAGAGACTCTCAGGTGGAACCGGGCTCGCTGCTGGCGACCGCGAGTCGAGTGGCAGGAGCACCTTGGCAGCTTTGGCATCCCGAAAAAAAACAAAGAACTGGGAGAGTCGAAGCGGGCTGACCGCTGGAACTTCATGTTCGACAAATTGATCCCTGGAATCTGGAGTTCGACTCATTTGACCGGATTGGACGAATTCGCCTATGACCCATTGAATTTGACAAACTGAACATTTGGCATTTCTCTTGAAAATGCGCGGCTCAATTAAAATCCTGTCTTTCGGGAGGTGTTCTCTGAAAGAGAAGCATCATGAAGCCTGCCGTTCTGAAAGCAGATCACTTCTTTTGAACACGCTTTAAATTGATTTTTAAGCCTACGCCTTTTTTAGGTTCAGAACACGCCACACCAAAAAAAGAGGGCGCGCTATGGCGCGCTTCAGCGTTTTTATGCGCCGATGCACACGGAGCACCAATCGTTATATCACCCTTATATAAGGAATCCTAATAATATGTTTTTTTCTTAAGTTGTCTTTAGGTTCAGAACACGCCACGCACAAACAAAAAGAGGAAAAAGCTGAACCCAACCCTTGCAATTGGAGCTTTCTAAGGAGCTTTGTAAGGAGCTTTATAAGGGTCTTTGTAAGGAGCTTTACACAGAGCTTTATAACCCCCCACAAGTGTTGGTGGAAGGAGACTGCCGCATACTGCCGCCTGGCTTCACAAACTGTTGCCTATTCTGCGTTGCCTTTGCAGCCGACGTGTTGGTCAATCCGAAAGGATGATACCATTTGATGTGTATATATGCATACAGGGATCATTTGGGTGCTTGCGATTCGTCATGTGTTGCCCTCGTTGTGTATTTGGTGTTTGGAATTTAACAGACGTGTGTCCAATATAATTTTAGTCAACCCTTCCAGACTGATGCAAGCATGATCGGCTCTGTGCGATGAGGACGTTGAGAGTTGTCTTTTAGTTTGTCCTATCAGAGGAAAGCAGTGAGCTAGACCAATCCCCTTCAGGGTTTTGATCAAGACGGCACGGGACCCACTTCGGAAATGAATTGTACCGGCGTCCATTGTGAATCATGAGGTTTCAATTGGTGTTGGAACACGGGACATGTTGCAAGTACATTGTGGCTGTCCTTTTGAGACTGGAAGAAACCTTTGGGCTCCAAAGTGACTTTGCCTACCCGGCAAGAAGACTACCCCGAGACTGGATCCATGGATTGATGTCATTGAAAACTAAGTGCTACCCACCTCCTAGGTTCGGTGGGCCTTTGCGTTTTCGGAAGACCAGGTCTGTGGCGAGCGCAGGGTTTGAACCTTGTTCTTGGTCAATTAGCTTGGTGGTTTCATGTGTAGCTTGGCTGCAACGCTGCAGTGCTTGCCAATTGTTCGGCGCCTGATATGCAACATGTTGGTGCTGGTATCATTATTATCAAGTTTTCACGGGGCCTGCTTGTTCTCACCCGTTTCAGTTTCGCGAAGTAAGAGGTGGGGTGGGGTGGCATCTCAATGCGTTTTCAGTGATGGACATATGGGTCCGTCTCAAAATGGAAGAAAACGGTAGTTTCCCTATGGTTTCCTTTGAAGAACGATTAAAACGGGGGGGCTCACTATGCCAATGTATCGTACACCTCAAACTGGCATAGCCATTGGAGACCCAGTGGCCCTTTTGTGAACAGAAGGACCCGTGCAAATGGACACGCTTTGATCATGTCTTGAACCTGCGCCCGAAATGGCGGAGTGGGCCTTGCCCGTTTCAGGTTGATGTACCCATGGAGACAGGCACCTATGCGACTCGGCGGAGCAAGGATATTTCCAGCCGAAGGGTGGGATCCTGCTATGAGCTGAGACGAATTGAGTGGATAGGGAAAGTTCACACGCCCCAGATCCTTTCGATAGATTTTGGGTTGAGTTCTTTGAGAGGCCAGTTTGGGGTTTCGACATGGCGAGTGTGTTTTCAGTTTCTCATGGGGAAGCACGTGCGAAGCCCGAAATGGTCGGTGGCGTTAGGACGGTGTGCAGAAAGGAAAGCAGAAGGCAAGCTACCACTTGAAGTCCTTATTTGTTTTAAGACTTTCAAATCGCTTCATACACAGCGGTCGCGGCATCTCATGCTGATTCGAGCCGATTCAAGCCCGTGCCGATTCAAGCCGATTCAAGCCGGCAAGCAGGGTGGTCCTCCGATGTCCGTTTGAGGTGATCTTACTTTCGTGGTGTTGAAAGGGGACATACTGCGGATTCTCAAGAACCTTACCATTTGGCATGGAAGAAACCCTATGAAGACTAGCTAGTACATCACCAATCCCAACTGGTGCCTGATGGTTTGGTTGATCAGTGAAATAATTCCATTTGTGACAAAATCTGAATTGGAGACCCTGTGGCCGTATATCATGTAGCTGGGGTTCCCCATTCAAACTTCCCGGACACCAGGCGGTGCTCGCCTTCCACTTGGCCGCATCCACCTCTGGCTTCAGCTGCACTGTGCAGCGGGTGCCGTGGTGATAGATCTGACATGTGAGCGGAAAGCGTGATGCGGTTCGATTAAACTCTCACGCCCTGATGTCTTGGACTTTAAAAACTTTCTGGAGAAAACATGTTAATTGTCAACCAAAGGTTTTTTTGAGCTTCTTGTTGGCCGATCGGCCGATCCACTCAGGAGGTGAGACTTGGGTAGTTCTTATTTGTGTTTTTCGGGCACGGGAGGGGGTAAGAGCGAAGGGTGCCTATGTTGTGTGTCGCACGCGCATTTGCCACAATATCTGTCGAACATGCCCAATTAAATGAGAACAAGTGCCTTACTTCAGACAATCCCCACATGAATATTTTGTCTGACTAAGCCAGACTGCAACTACACAGGCACCAAATGGTCAATCATAGAAAAGGTATGGGCCAGACCTTAGACCAACTGCAAAAACTTGACTGTTTGCCAATTGAAAGGACACATGATGAAAAAACAACAAAGGCAAACAAATAGGGTCTAAAGTAAGCTAAGCCTGGCAATGTTCGGAGGCCACTTGTTTGGTGTGCTATGATTATTTCGCGTGATGTCGTGTAGCTTGGCGTGCTGTCATGTGGCATGATAACGTGTAAGCTATCTGTTTTAAAGGACTGCGGGGACACATCTTCACACATATATATATATATATATGGGGGTTGATCAAAAGGTCCTTGCAAGGAGTTTTGTATTCGGTGACCATTTGTCTTGGCTTAAATCCCTCCGCGAAAGATCGGCGATGGAGTTCGCGAAAGAAACTTATTTTTTCGCGAAAGATTCCGCGTTGGATTCTTGGAGGCATGCCTGTGCACTTACATAATTTGCAGACCCCGCTCCCTTGTAGATAGGGAGATACGCAGCACCTACACTTGCATTATTGGTTCCTGTTTGTGTTGGGATTGGTGCAAATCAATAACGTTGGCTGGGCTATTTTGGAGCAAGTTCGCGAAAGATCCGCGAAAGACCGGCGAAAGGCAAGGAAGCTTGTTGCAAGGTTCCGCACATCGCCGGCAAGCGCAAGTGGCAAGGGCGAATGACGGTGACTGCCTGCACTTGACACTACGTACTGCACGCAAGTGAACTGCGACTACCGTGTTTGCAAGCATAACTGCAGCAGCCACAATGGCTCCAGAGCGCACGCTGCAAACAAAAGAGCGTGGCGATGGAGTCGCGAAAGATTCGCGAAAGAAACTTATTTTCTCGCGAAGATGGCGTTTTCCGGAAACAGGAATATTGATCAACTGCCATATGTGTGTATGTACACATTCTAAAAGCCAACCAAGAGGGATTTTCCCCCTTGGCAAAAGGATGATCCGTTTCCGCAACCATGCCACTTCTGGAGGCATGTTCTGCACAGTGCGAACATGGCACGCTGCTGGTTTCAGGACAGGGGATACCCAAATCGGGTGGGTTGCTTTCTGTGTGCTTCTCTTAAACCGCAAACCCAAAAATAAGACCCATCCTGATACTCCAAACACTTCAGCAGCTGGGAAGGTGTGTCTTGGATTGACAATAGCATAGTCTCTACACACGAAGGACATTCCTGTATGAAAGGATCCCTGATTTTCAGCTTGCAAAACATAATAATTGGTGCTGACATTGTGTCAGATGACGTTGTGTGAGATGACGTTGTGTCAGATGACGTTGGGGCTTGTGTGACGGTTGAGTTGAGGGAAAACAGCACTTGAAAGAAAGAACGGTTGGGTCACCCTGTTTTGAGGCATGCTTTGGCTTGAGAGGGAAACTGAAAGGAAGCCTGGAA